TTAGTCCAGAAATGGAGATGTTATTATCTGGACAAATCAGAAAAGGCTTTGTGGGTGGGGGTGTTTCGGCGCATGGTTTGTTTGTTTGTTTATTTTTGTTTTCTTCTGATAAGAAGGGGCATGGTTCAGCTTCTTGGTTTCTCCTATTAAATGATTACATCTAGGTTTGGCAACTTCTTCCCAAACGCCCTCTTGAAGTTTTGCTCGAGTTACGTAACATGTAGTGAGCAGGGATTATTAGAATTGGATTACAAAATTGGTGGGTTATGTTATGATTTTGACATTCAATACCAGCTTGGGTTAAAAACAAAGTCGCTGATGCGTTTTTTTGGGTGAATGGAATGTTGAGGTTATTCAGGTGCCTTTTGATGAATGTAGAGCCTAAACAGATAAAAGCCATTATTGATAAATGGGGATAACGGATTTCTTGGCTATACATTGCGCCAAAATCATCTTATTCTTTTTTTTTTTTTTTAAATATTTATGAGTGTTTAGGTTCGTATAAATGCATCTCAACTAATTTCATGAGACCGTTGTCTAATCTTTCTACATTTGTTTGCCAAAAAAAACTCGTAAGTATTAAATCTTTGGTAGGTGGCCACTATGGTTTAAGCTCATTCTCTTGCCTTACTTTCTCATTGGTCCAGTGACAACTAGGCCTGGTCAGTCCTTTCACAGGACTATTAACACCCCTTATTTACTCTGATGAATATCACAATATCTTCTAAAAAATGGAATGAATTTGTCCTTGTTTTTATGATACACAATATACTTCATTATAAGCCTCTACCAATGCTTGGATTATAGGCAATGGCTCAAGTAGGCGGTCTGGTTATGCTGCAACCAGAAGTGGGAGGCTCTCGCGACAATTTCTTCTTTGCTGGAATTGATAAAGTGAGGTTCCGAAAACCCGTGATCGCAGGAGACACTTTAGTCATGCGAATGACTCTCACTAAGTTGCAGAAGAAGTTCGGAATTGCCAAAATGGATGGGAAGGCATATGTTGGAGGCGAAGTCGTCTGCGAAGGCGAGTTCTTGATGGCCATGGGTAAAGAAGAATGAAAATTTTCCTTATCTACCTCTGTTCATCACGACGGTTATCGTTCCATTTTGTATCTTCTTTTTTTCGTATACTTTTTGTGGGATAAAGATGTGAGTTAGGATTCTGCACTTCCAAGAAATAACTCTGATTCCATTGAAGCAGAGTATAATATTATGGACTTCTTCAGGTCTGTTATTTCAAACTTCATTCTTGAGTAAATTTCAATAGAAATGAGACTAGATTCAAACTAAAGTTAGAACATAGAGATTGAAAATATGATTTCACTTATCACCTAATTGAAGAAAATTATACATATTAATGTCAAAATATCTCTTCAAGCGTATAAGAAAATCAAAGTGTAATTATCACAAAAGAAACATAGAATGATTGTCAAATGAATTTATTCAAATCTTATAATGTCAATGGTGTCACCTTTGAGTAATTCAAGCGGAGAGCCCATCATTTTTGCTGCTTCTTTTCTTGTGTTAAATAAATGGAAAAGAAAAATTCAATCATGTTGACTTTGCAATTTCTTGCTTTTACGTGTAAGATATTCAAGTATTGTTGTGAATTTTATTTTATATTTATATTGATCGAATTGTATATCCATTTATATATATTAATTTCTTCCCTAGAGATTTGGTGAGGATTTTGTTCTTTTATTATAATCAAATCATAGAGTATTGATGGATAAAAAATTAAGGAATCATTTGGTAACGTTCTAATTTTTTATTTTTTGTTTTCCGATTTTGAGAAATATAACTGTTAGGTAACGGTCTATGTTTCTCTTTTCTCTTTTTTATTTTTCTGATATATATGAAGATCCAGATTAGACAGCTGAAACACATAGAAATTAATTCTGGTAAATAACTATCATAGAGTTTGAACTTATTTCCTCTCAATTTAAATGTAACGTTATATATCTTTAAGGTTTCATAGTTTAACTTCTAAATCATAATCAATCAATATATTAGTTTTAACTATAGCCATTTTTTTCTATTTCTGATTTCTTAAGAGAGTTGTTTTATCAATAAAACATGTACGGCCTCAATTCAAATATCAGTAGATAAAGGATCATATTTATGTTCCATCCATAAACTTCAACTAATACAAACTAAATGTATATATTAATAAATCAAAGATTAACATATGGTGAAAAAAAAAATTAACTTCAATAACTAACTAATTACTAAAAGACAAAAAAAATACAAGAAAGCCCCCTTCCCTCCCCAAAAGAAGAAAAAGGAAAAAGAGCCCAAAAGTATTAAAATATGAACACCAATTTGAGAGACTAGAAAGTTCCACCATGGAAAAACACACACACAAAAATATAATAATAATAAAAAGAGCAAATAGTAACATGACACGTGGAGTATGATTTTGATAGATGAAAATGGTGGGACCCGCATGACGACCCTAGTACATAGCATGATGTTATCTAAATTGTCTTATTACCTTAATAATTATAATTTTTTATTTAGGAAAAAAGAAGAAAAAGAATAATAGAATTTTAGAATTAGACAATATGGAAGCTCAGACTTCTGATAATTTTATTATTCAATCTGTTTGAGTTTCATTTTCCTCATTAAAGGGACCCAATAATTGACTCAAACCCATACCCAATTATTGCCCATTTCCATAATTGGAGAACGAATACTCCAAAGCTCTCACCTTTCTTCCCACTCAAATTCTTTTAAATAAAATATTTATGTCAATTTTATAATATTTATCTCCAAAAAAGAAATATATAAGTTGTGAAAATTTGTAGGATTTATATAAATTTAGTAGAGAAAAATTTTAACAATCGTTTGCTAAGTTAGAAGCATTTGTTTTGAATATGAATATGAGTTATACATGCACATTTGATCTCGATAGCAAGTACGATGAAATATATATGCACATTTGATCTCGATAGTAAGTATAATGAAATATATTACGATGAAAAAATTAATGTGATGCCCAGTTGGGGCCATGATAATAGAAAAATGCATCATTGTAAATTATTGGACAAAAACAATTAAAACATCATATTATTATATGTCATTATCCTTTTGGTCCAATTCATCGGGTGATATGGATGATGCCTCATGAATAGGCCACTCGATCTTAACCAGCTACGGTAATTGTTTTACATTTTCTAATGTCATTAAGGCGAGCATAGCTCAGTGGTAATTGATATATATCTCCAATCAACGTCATTTTTGATGAATTTTGAAAGATAAATTGTCATGTAAATAAGAGGTGAAAATGATGTTATTCATGTAATTCTAGGTTAGATATTTTTTGTTGTACTTGTTAAACCCATCTTGGGTTATAAGTTGGTTTTATTTTTCTATTAGTGAAATTCTGTTCATAGTCTTTTTGTGTTAAGAGAATGGTCAACCTTTTTATCATTAATGAAAGAAATTTCATCTCTCAGTGATCATCTCTACTAAGTTTCAGGTGGCTTATTACATGGTATTAGAGTTTAAACAAATAATAATCAGCTTAGTTAACTGTCTTAATAAAGTTTGGTATGAATTTTGTTTCCATGGTTTTAAAAGTTTTTTTTTATTAATTATTCTCCTTATGCTTTAGTTAAAAAGAAAACATTTGATGGAGAATACGAGTCAAATATATTTTAAACCAAAATTTTTTAGATTGTCTATCCTTATTTATTTAATTGGTCATCTAATCAGTAAAATACGCATAAACATCCAACTTAAAATATAGCGTACAGCTTGACGACTTATTAAAATCAAAATTGAATATTAAAAAATCTAACTAAAATGTTTCAAAATTCATAAATTAAATAGAGTAAATTATTAAAATCGAACGATTAAATTAGTTAATAAGTTTCACCTAAAAATTGAGGGAATAAATTAAAATATTTAAAAATCTGCAAATTCGAAACAAATTTTAAAAAAAAAAAGGGAAAATTTTTGTAGGAGCTGGAAAGTTTCATGGTCAACAAAAGAAGGAAAAGCAAAATTATGTGTAATTTGACTGTTTACTTTGCAATAACTTTTGTAACTAAATCAAATAATAATTAATAAAAATGTGTGAGTTTTCGTTTGGATAAAATTTCCACCACACTGAAATCCTCCTTAAATATTGAACTCCAAATTAATAAATATATTGCTTCAACCATTTAAATAAAATCTGTCCACTTAGAAAATAATATAAAATTGCTTTTTTATATACAAAACGCAGTATAAATAATTATGGAGCATAAGATTAAGATGTTGACTTGTCTTCTCCCATCCGATGAATCAACCAACGGCCCAGATTGAGTCTCATCATACACTAATTTTCGAGTTAAACTATCATTATTAATTCTATTTCCATTTTTCCTTTTTTGGCGCGAGGGCGGCAGACCCTAATTCATCAAGTTATTAATGCAGTGTTCAATCAACTTAATTTCTTAGGCATAATATATATCTTATATTTCAAAAATCGTCAATGTATTAAAAAAAATTGTGTTAGATTAAAAAATGGTTCATATATATTTTAAGTATCTCGCATTGAAAAGAAAATAGACCTAACAATGGTTTATAATAGTTATGTGATACTCCTTTCATTACCAATTGATTTTGAGATAGAATCCTATCAATATTGATAATATAACCCTAACAATTGAAGAGGAAAAAGAAAACTCTCATTAATTAGAGACGGAATATTAAATATATGTAAATATGTTTGGTTGACCGAAGGAATACAACGTTGATATTTTTATGTGTCTATAGGTTCGACATCAACATCAGGGATAAATCGATATTTCCATAGGATTGTTGCAGAAAAATCGACCAAATAAGACAATATTTCTATCGACATTTTCACCGACCAAATGGGTTTGAAATATTTTGGTTAGAGGTACAAAATTAGACTCAAGGCACAAACTTGTAATATACCCTTTTTGCTTTTTTATATAATCATTCATTCTCTTTCATCTTATACTCATTACTAAAAAATAAAAACAAAAAAAAAAACTCTTTCATCTTCTTCTTATTTCCTAGTTCCCACACAAATCTCTCTCTCTCTCTCTCTCTGAGGAAGAAGATGTTAGTACGGAAGCGCCCACGGCCGCAGATGAAGAGAACGGCGAGTATGTCAGGAATCAAGGTGGATGTCAGCCACGTGGAAGGTGGACAGCCGTCTGATCACCATCACAGTCCCGGAAGCTGGCAAAATCCTCCGGCGATCGCCGCCGACGCTGATCTGATGAACTACACCTTATCCTTCGTGTCGCCGAGAGGCCGGAGAAATCTCTCCGCCTTCAACGACGGCGGCGACGATTCCGTTCACTTTCTACGCACTTGCACCTTCTGTCACCGCCGTCTCTCACCCGCCCGTGACATTTACATGTACATGTATGAAATTCAAACTCTCTTTCCAAACTTTTTTTTGTTTTTTCTTATCTGAATATTAAGCTGGATTTAATTTTCATAAAAATAAAATGACCGGTTTAGTTATGAATATGAATAAAAAGATTAAATTTATTCTAAATTATCAACTTAAATTCTTAGATTAAACCAAAACATAGCTGAATAATACTTTTTTTTTTCAATCAAAAGATTATTGTTTAAATTCTCACGTCTGTGTATTGCACTAAAAAAAATCTTAAATTAATTGATTAATTCTCCATTCAATATTGATAATGATTCATTTGGTATAAGTGATAAAATTTATGGTAATTTCTCACCTTAATTTTTTGGATTTAATCATCTAAAAAGTTAGATATATTCCTTAAAACAAAATGACGGATATCATTAAGAATATGAATAAAAAGATTAAATTTATCTTAAATTATCAACTTAGATTAATGATCAAACTTGAACGTAGTTCAATAATACTTCATACTTTTTAGATAAGAAGATCGAGTGTTCAAATTCTCACATTCATATATTGTATTAAAAAAAATCTTAAACTAATGAGTAATTCTCTATCCAATATGACAATTATTTATTTGGTACAAGTGAGAAAATTTATCAAATTTTTGGGTGTAATAATAATTGAAGTTGGTATATTATGAGTTTAGGGGAGATACAGCATTCTGCAGTGCAGAGTGTAGAGAGCAGAAGATGGAACAAGATCACGGCAGTGGTGGAAGTGGATCAAAGCAAGACGGCGGCGCCGTCGGCCGCCACCTCTAGGGGAGGGGCTCCGGCGACCAGACTGTGGCCGGGCAACAGCTTTTTGAAGTATTTGTATGTGAAAGAAAAAGCAAAAGAAAAAGAAAAAAAAAAGACATGGGAGTTTGTGTCATGACTAAATTATTAGGAAAAAAAAAGTATGTGATTAATGATTATGAATCAGCAGGGAAATTTGTGAATTTGATATACAAAGCTAACTACACGTTTTTGCTTCACAAACATATATGATATATATTTTTTCTTTTGGGTTCAATTCCTATGTCTCAATTTGGGGATTTATATTATTTCATTAAAAAAAATTGGGTTTTCATAGATGTAAACGTTTTAGTTTGATACTAATATTTTGTAAAAATCTCTTAATTTAGGTGTCAATAAATTAAATTAAATGATATGACAAATTTTTTTCATGTCGTACATATTTTGCTTTCATTGCTTCTTTCTGTCGCACATTTAAAACAAAATACCATGTATCTAAAAAATTGTATCAGGTAAGAAAATAATATGTATTAAATTTATGTATATTTTGACAAACTTAACGAAATTATAAGGGTTGAATTGAAACTTTAGAATTTTAATTTTTTTTTTCCATCCCATCCTCGAAAAAAGGGAGAGAATGTGAACGTTTGCACGACTGTTTGTATTTTTTTTTTCTGAGGTGTGGTAAATGAAGAAAATAGGGAAGGGAGTGGTTGAATTATATTAGTAGGTATGAATTATATGATGCAAAAATCATTGAAGCTAAGATATAGTAGGCGACGGCCAAAATCGACGGCGAAATAGGTCCCATATGTTTAATTTTGACGCGTTTTCTTTTGTCACTATTCTAAACGTGTTCAATCCATTAACGAGAATGAAAATGAGAACAATTAATTGTCATCGAGTCAAAAATAGATTCTTAATCATCGTACATATGTGTTGTACTTGTATTTGAGAGAGAATTAAACCTTATATTTACCACACATACCTCTTCTATATTATCATTGCATCATATCATACCAAATCAATTAAACTTTTGCCGAAAGATATGTTCTACGTTAGGATTTTAAGTAATGATAGAAACTAAATAAAAGTATAATTTATAAAAGATAGGCATATTCTTGCGAGTATATATATGACCTATATATTGTTTTGGTGTAATTTTCATCATTTTAGTATAAACGTGTGTAGCTTGTACAGTATAGAATATAACCAATGAACTTTACTTTTTCTTCCTTCTCTTATTATTTTTGTTCATCGCACTTTTGAGAGAGAATTTATAATTCTTACGAAACCTTCTAATCTCAGTGTCATAAGTCTGCAAGAATGATATGATTAGACTATTGTACTTGTTATGTCATTACTCACATCATCATCTCTATCTCATTATACTTATTTCTCGTGTCATTTTTTGGATAATCCACATAAATCTAATTTAGAAGTTTATGCCATTGTGGGAAGTAGGGTTTTTGTTCAAAACTTTATTTCTTTTAAGTTTTTCCTTTAATCTCTTTTGAGTGATTCAAGATGCATTTGAATAAAAGATATGAAACATTTATAAATGAAATTTATCTTCTTTCTTGCAATCTAACAAATGTGAGCTGTTGGATTGGATTTCTAGAACAAAGCAACTTGAATTAATAAGTTGGGGAGAGCTTTGGGCCTTTATTTGTATGGGCTATGCACTCAAATTGGCAAGTTATGGCTTTGTTTAAAGTGCTGGGCTGATTAGAGTCCATGTAATAGCTATACTGCTCGAATTAAAAAAAATGTAAAGAAAAACTTAACTTTTTAAGTTTTAAATTGCAATTAGCAATCAATGAAATTCAAGCCTTCACAAGTCAATGCACAAAATCAAGAACTCACAAATAATTATACAAAATCAACCATGAAATAATTCTTTTAAAACTCACCAAATTCAACAAAAATCAAGACTTAATGGCATCTGTCAATCTGAACATAGTTCAATTTATATACATACATGATTCAAATTTCCACCTAAAGACCTTATTAATTTACCATCTTTGTTATAGTTAGCCTCATATTTGATGGAAAGTCCAAGTCACTTTGGGGCAAAATGGATGGAAAAATGTACTAAATTCCAAACAGTTTGGAAATAAGCTTAGAGTCACATCAAGGGGCATTCAGTGTTGGCCATCTTCCCAATTATTGGCCATTGTGGGAATGGACTAATTACCAAAAAGAAAAAAGAAAAAAAAAAGTCGAATTTGGTCCATGGACCACTTTTTTGTCTTTTCACTGAAATAATTGGTTGGCCTTTTTTCTGGTGTTAAATGTAAGCCTATTTGGATTCTTAGCAGGCTAACACTTTTTTTTAGTATAACAAGTGAGTATGAGATTGAATTCTTTGACAACTACTCTAACGACAAAACACAGAATAAACCAAACATTATTTTCTCAGAGAATATAATATTTAATCAAAATATATTGTAGTGTGAGATAGAGAACATAATTCCTTAGTTTATTTCTTCTTGGCGCTTTATAACACCCTTTTTTTTCAGAGGATGAACTTTTGGTTTTGAATTTTTGGTTGGGTTTGTATGGCATGAAGAAAAATAAAACTACCCAACTTAGTTAAGTTGATATTTGAAACCTTAAAAACATGAAATCTATTTAGTTTAAAATATGTATAATTCCATTACAGAAGATATGGCTTGCCCAAGATTAACAACTTCCCCAAGCCGGATATAAAAAGAGGGCTTAAAGAAAAAAAAAAAGAAGAAGAAGAAGAAAAAAAAAATGTAAAAAACCAGACAGAAACAGCTGCATATTTTCACAAACTTATAGAAGAAAACCAATTTTCTATTCAACTCAACGTTATCAAACTTCACTTGTATTCCAAAATCATGTTGTTCTCAGGGGCCAACCCAACACAAGCTCTCATTATATTCTCCAGCATCGCCCGCTGCTTCGACAGAGCATTCACCACTGGTGTGCCTGGCGGTACCTGTTTTCACCATTTTCGACCACATATCGATTCAGAAATATGTTCAAATTGTCAAATGAAAAGTTATAATATTTCAGCAGGCAATGGCTATGAAAAAAAAAAAAAAAAAAAAAAAAAACTTACAAGAGGAGCCTTTGTAAGGTAACTGAGGATGGTAGCCACAGGATGGAAAGAGTGAAACTTTCCCTACACACCACAATTCACTTGCGTTTTAGAATTCATTTTAAAATGGCAAACAAAAAATGGCTTTTTTCCAAGAGAGAGAATGGAACTGACCTCCCCTTCGGCCTTGAACTGTATGCGAGTGCTGAGTTCGGCAAGAAGAACCAAATCCAGTATGATAGGAGCGGCCAAGAGAGAGTCCTCGCATGTGTTGTGCATCACTATGGTGCTTTTACCACCCATGAATATCTCTGAGGTGTACTCATCCATGGCCCTCTTACTGTCCGCCACGTAAGGAACATACTGAAAATTCCCATCCCAAAGCAACCACTCTCAGTAAAACAGGAAGAATTAACAAAATCTAAGTCAATTGTTCTGATTAACTTTCAGCAGTCCACAACATCATTAGATATAATATAGATTTTCTTAAAAATCATCCGTATTCAAACCAATTTAGAAGCTAACTTCCTCATCATCTTACATCAATTGGTGATAAGATATTTCATATCTAAATAAGTGGTTTGTATGATTTCGTAGAAACATCTAAATTTACAATTCAAACTCAGGAAATTTAATGAATTATACCTTGATGACCACCACATGGTCAGGATGCTCGCCAGGCTCGAAGAGGATGCCATTGCTAGAGACCATGTCATCCACAACATTACTCTTTGAGATCTCCTTGGATCGGAAAGTTTGTGGGGCTGACAGGTTCATTCCATCGTTGTTTCCAAGGTGGTTGTAGCTCACTATTGATGTTGGCTGGCACGAAATTCCACAACATATGTTAGAGCACCCAAAATTTTATAACACTGAAGAGATCTCCAAGTTTAATTAAACAGAGTGGGGTACCTTGATACCAGCACCAACAAGGAAGTCTACAAGCACAGATTTCATCTTTGTCTGACCACTCTTGAAATCATCCCCTCCAATCAAACTATTTCTATGAATGGCTAAGTCAATCAACCCTGTTAACAAGATCCCATAATTTCAGTGAATTTTGCTTAAATAGGGATAAATAAAGGTAAAAGTTGGAAATTCTTTTATGAGGATATACAAGGGGTACCTGGGACAAAAGTGTTCTGTGGGCTACCATTGATGAAAGGGACATTTTCAAGGACACAAGCAATTGCATACAATGTGGAAGGAGATATCTCCGACTCGTTTTTGTCCACAGAAGCCAGAAGATTTTCCATAGTGTCATTTAGCCCCACAATAACATTGCTGTACCTCTCTGTGTTGGCAGTCCACAGCACTACAATTTTGTCCACCTTGCTCTTCTCCTTAAATTCCCTAATAAATTACAACATAACCTACTTTTTAGCTTTAGCATCTAAAAATTTTCGAAACCATAAAACTGGATTGCTCACTAGCATATTGTCCCATTCATAAATATTTTGAAAAGCCAAAAAGACAGAGTACAGCTGCTGGCCCATATGATTTAAGGTGATTTTGATATGAATTTTGGGGGTTGAAAAGTCTTTTTACTTTTTAATCAAAGTAAAGAGCACTTAAAAAGCAAAGCACTTAACTAGTACTTTTGAGTACTTCACTTGGAAGCACTACCTAAAAAATCATCTCAAACTAACTTTTAGTAGCCATACAAATTTTCTTCGTCAAACAAACATTTCATATGTAGTCAGATATTATGAAAAGTATAAAATCTTAACCTTTAACTGACATATACCCAAAAATAATATACCTAATATCTTTAATAATTTGCTGAAGTTGTTCTTTCTTGGTGCCTTTGATAACGTTATTGGCTCGTGAGCCCTGATTCGCAGCAACAAAATCAGGATCGAAGATTCCAGGAAGTGGGACCATGGATTCCATGTAGGGTCTCAATTGCTTTTGCAGATCAATATCAAGGACCTTAGCTCTGGCCATGGCATCAGCCAAGTTCATGTCACTTATGTCCCACCCTCCAAACACAACGTCATCTGGATTAACCTGCAGATTAAAATCAATTTTGCTAAGTTCAAAATCATCATAGGATTACTATTTCAGAAACCCATAACTCTCCAATTAACTGTTGTGATATAATTACCATGGGTAGGAGGCTCTTAAATGGAGCATAAATCTCCTCGCCATCGATAGAGCCAACTCGGATAGACGATGCTTGGGTTAAAGACCCAAAATAGTTGGCTTGCTGAACTTTATCCTTCGTTGCCCAAGAAATCCCTCTGCGAATAGGATATCCATCATCCAATTTCAGATGCTATAATATTATTATTGGGCAGAGTTTTAAACTATTTATTATTTGAAAATTTTGTAGAAAAACCAGAGACTGTATCTCTAATAACAAATAATAAAATCACAAAAAGTCAATTCTAAGCATCAACTCCAATATAAAATTGAAGACCAAAATCTCGAGAGAGAGAAACTTACTCCCGGTTGGCTATGATACCTCCAGTAAGAGTAGAGCCGTTGTTTCCACCCCATCCAACGAGCATCATCCTACACCAATACAAAGCGAAAATTGAATTCCAGACATCCAAAACAAAAATGGTTCCACAAACGGATACGGAGGGATTAGTAAAACAAACCCTAATTTGGGGACACGAATATCAGTCTTGAATTCATACTGAACAGATTTGGGCTTGACAGTCCACTGATAAGCACCATTCCTGTTCTCATGAATCAGCTCTGTAGTGTCGTAGTTGTACACGGAATGGATCTCAGCGTCCGTGTACTTGACATTGGGCGATTCGACCTTGAAGCTGTCGATGAACATTTTGCCGAACAAAACCCACCGAGGAGAAGAAGAAGAAGAAGAAGAAGAAGAAGGGGTGAAGTACAGAAAAAAGAAGAGAAACCTGTTCCCTCTTTCTCCTCGACACCTCTCTTCGGGGCCTCGGGAATTTTGCTGCGGTGATCGCTGATTCGGGGGGGCGCTGTGGATTTAAAGACGGAAATGGGAATGGATTCGACACGCGTCGCAAGATGTGTAGGCGGTGGAAGAGACGGCCCCACCGGTAATCTCCTCCATGAAAAGGAACAGATTACAGAGCGTGAAAGTTCCATAATCTGCTAATGGAAGTGAAGAAGATAACTGTAAAAAAATGTTGTTTGTGAAGGAAGGAGAACGACAGGGAAGGGTCCGTATGGGCTGACACGTCGTCCAAACAACTTCCCGAAGAAACCATCCTAATCATCAATTCTAAAAAAGTGTTTAAAATTTTTCAATGATATATTAGACCTTTTATAAAAAAATTTAAAAATATATTAGTTGCGAAATTGAAATATCAAATATTGATTAGACATGAAATTAAAAGTTTAGCGTGAATATAAGCTTGGTTTGGTAGTAATTGATACTTATTCCAAAAAGTTAAAGATTTGAATTTCCAACTCTTAGAGCGGAAAAAAATTACTCTATTGTTGATTTCATAGTTCAACTGATTAAAATATTTATCTCGATCAAAATGTTGTTGGTTCAGATCTTCACTATGATGTATTAAATTTTTTTTAATACTTTACTAGATATCAGCTTGAAAGTTTATTTTAAATTACTTATAAACAAATTTAGATTTAGAAAAAAAATGGTAAAATAATTTTTTTTAGTACAACATGTGGGGTGGGAGATCGACCCACATCTTTTTTGTTGAAAATATATGTCACTTATTATATTACACTACAGTGTGAGGTTTGTTCCTATGATCATTTAGAAGACGGTAATCACRAGATAAATGTCATAAACTATACTCAAATTGGCGAATAACTCAATTTGATCAATTATTCTCCTATAATTATTGTGACAACCTCATAATAAGTTTTTTTTAGTTCAATATGGTATAGAAATTCGAACTTTCACTGAAAATATATGTTTGAATAAATTGAGCCATGTTTAGATTAATTTATTTCATAATAAATTAGAGAATTTAATTATGCAACAAAACCATAGAATTTATGAGTGGTTTAGAGTTAATTATGATAAATATTGAGATTGCAATTTGCAATTAATGGACCTAGAAGGGTAAGATCTAATTTTAATGATTTTTTAAGTTTTGGAGATAATTGTTTAAATTAAAAGTTTAAGAGAACCTCCTCCTAGTTTAGAGATTTCTCTTGTTATTCGTTTTAAATATTTAAAAGTATGAATATTAAAAACAAAATTAAACTTTTATATCTTATTTGATTCACATAATTTTAAGTTTATTTTACTTGATCTCTTAAGCTTTCTAAATATCTTCTTAAATTTTCAAACTATTATTTTTCTCTAAGTATCTATCCCTTCAATACTTGCTTTAGAGTCTAAAATTGTGGCTCTAATTCGTCTCTGTGTTAGCAATTAATACACACATTTTAAATCATACTATCCAACTATTAATTAACCAAGGACAAAATAATCTTGAAAATTAAGATGGTTATATTTTAAAAATTTTAAGAATTAAAATAGATATTTAAAAGTTGGTAAAATTATATTAAAATAGGTATTTTAAAAGTTAAAAAAATTAAAATAGAATTCACACTATAAACGTTACATTTTCTTTGGATTTTGAAATCTTTTTAATTTATTTTGAGTATAATTGAGATGAAGATTTTAAAAAAAAATAGAAATTACATTTTAACCACTCAACTACGGCATTCAACTTTCTTTTTCAAAACTTGTACTTTGAGAAATAATTCTTTGACAAGAAAATAACAATAACTTTTCATATGAATTAGTTTTAGTTTTATAGTTTATAATTTAAATTTGAAAATTAAGAAGGGAGATAGAGACGTAGAGTTGAGGACCAGGAGGGTCTATATCCCAATTAAAAAAATAGAAAAAAGGTTTAGTTTTCCCTTTCCATCCCTACACGAAATTGAGTTTTTTCGTCTTATATTAAAAAGCAAGTTTCCATAATAATTTTTTGTACTCTTTCCAACAAAAGAAAAAAAAAWTTTAATATTATTTTAATTATCTTACTTGATTTATTTTAGTCTATTTACTTTGTTCATTTTATTCTCTCTKTACTTTCAACTTTTATTCATTTTATTCTCTCTACTGTTAGAAGGTTTATTTTACTTTTTTAATTAACCATTTTATTTCCTTTTTGCAAAATTTTATACACAATGGAAACTTCTTAATATATGACTAGTACATTTCAAAAAAATTAATGAGTGAAAGTATTATGATAAAATTGTGATGGAAAGAAAATAAGATAAAAATGAAAATGAAAACACAAAAATAGCAATTTTTTAAAAACTACAAGGATCAAACCAAACATTTCTAAAGTATAAGAACTAAAATGAACAAAAGTCGAAAATATAAACACCAAAACAAATGTTTCGATATAAAAATCTAAATGAACCAAAGTGGAAAGTAGGACGAAAATAGTATTTGAACAAATTTTTTTTTTTGATACATGCCAATTTAACTCATTGTACTAAAAAAAACTCTTCACAACCTAGTTTCTCCTTACCATTGGTTTTTTCTCATTTTTCTTTTTCATTTTTTTTATTCTTGATTTGAGTCTATCTTGAAAAGATTTGTCACAATTAGTAAACATAGGAGTAATTCAGAATGTTAATTTATGCAATATTTCTTACCATGTAGTAAATAAATTAAGTATAGTTTTGTTTATGTTTTACTTTATGTTTTACTTTATGCCTACTAAATCAAGAAGCAAGGAGAAAGTATTGAGATCTTCAAGTTAAAACGAGCCTAGTTCAGCAATAATTGACATATACCTCCAACCACAAGGTTGCGAGTTCGAATCCCCTCCCCAACATGTTGTACTAAAAAAAAGTATTTGAGATCTTCCAAGGGTGAGCAAAAACCTAATATGTCAATAATTCAAAGGTTATACCGATGGCCAAAATCTCTACTTCTTTCCATTTTAGGTTAATAGGTATGTTGTTAATCCTATGTAAGAATGACTTATACGTTGCTAATCGTTGTTAGATATCTTTTTAACTTTAAAAAATTAATCAGATTATTTGGTATTTAAACTTTTTAAAATGTTTAATTATGTCTTTGAAACTAAAAAATATAATCATTTTGGTTTTTATCGTTGTTCAATCATCAATTTTAATTTCTCTCCACAATTATCCATTTCGACCAATGACTCTAATACATGGCAATATCAGCGGAAATTTCTTAAAATTTCAATAGAAGTTATTGATCTTAATGTTAAAAAGATGATGCAAGTATTAGTGATAAAGTACATAAATTTGAAATAATATTGTAAAATTTGCATTTTTGTTTTATAAATAGCAAAAGAAATTGATAATTTCCATATATGCACCCAAGAATTGAAGTTATCATCTTGGTTATGCCCCTCCCTTTCAACTTCAAGTGGTCACACCCTCTTGTCCTGATTTGTCATTTTATCATCATGGCTAGGCTTCAAGTGGAACCTAATTATTGAATAGTGAGGCCTTGTAGTACTACTTGTTGATTGGCCATGCATGACCAAGTCTTATTCATCAACAATTTATATGGTGCTCTTTAATTGTTGAAAATAGAAAACAAATCAAATTTGAATTGGATCACCATTGGAATCTAAAACTATTCCTTCATTTTTTCCTCCAACATTTTGTAGATAGAAAAGTAAAGCTTATTCTACAACTAATTTTTTTTTCCTAATTTCCACCTTAAATTTTCAATTTTATCAATGTCATTAATTTTCATCTCTATTTGATACTAATACTTTACGTGGATTTTGTGAATAAAATTAATATCCAAATGCGAAATAGCCATAAAGTCAAATACATAATTGCAACAAAAAAATTGCTAAAATTCTAATACAGTAAAGAAAAATTAATGGGACCGTTGCAAATGTGACAAATATTTAGTAAAATTAGCAAAATAGCAACCACATTTAGTTTTTTCAAATATATCACTTTTTTTACCAAAAAAAAAAAGATGTCCAATTTTAAATGACAGTTTTACCCAAATGATATACATTTGTAATATCTCTGACTACTGATATATGTATGTGATATACATCTGATATGAGTGTCTGATATACTTGCAAGTGATATACATTTGATATACTACTGATATAAGCAAAAAATTTGTGTTACATTTGAAAATTTTAAAAAACAGATGACATATATTGAAATACATAAAAGAAATTTTGCTATCCACTACGGTTTTCCAAAATTAATGCTCACATAAATATAATTTTATCTAGCTACAAGGAATGTCCATAGTTAACTACACATCGATTAATCAAACTAAAAATATTAACTTCACGCTTTATTTAAATTCGTTGGTAAATAATCTCAACTTAGAGAATTAAAAAAAAAAAACCACAATGTATTACCACTCTCTTGATTGAAATTGCTAGTCTAAACAATATCTAACTATTCCAAACACAAATGTTATCAAATCTATCCTGGCTCAATTTATGGCAAACAATTTATGTCAATAATAGATAAAAATTCTTTTACCAAAAAAGAAAAGGAAAAAAAATTGAATTAAGAGAAAAAAGGGGGAAAAAGCACATTCATTAAATTTTAATAGAAACTTGGGGAAGCATGTGGAGATTGAGAGAGAGAGGTGAAAAGACTGAAGAGGACCTGCAGGCAGCGATGAGCACAGCAGAATGAATAAGAAGATGGGCCACGAAATGGGTTTGTGGCAAACCTAGCGCCATGCCTTTTGAGTGGCCATCAAATTTCCCAATTCCCTACCCCTAACCCAAGCTTCTAAATGTCCACGTCTACGTCGAGGTTCTAATTTTATGGAAATATCGATAAAATGTATGGACTTATTAGATTTGATACAATATCAAAATTCATTTAATTTCATCTCAAAATCAATTGATAATAGAAATTTCAATTCATCTTTCATATCGATATCGATGTTGAATCCATAGACATATAAAAATTATCTAATTACTACCTCCAAATTTTCAAATACACTTTTTTTTATAAATATTTTAGTATATATTATTTTATTTT